TAGTAACTTTCTTTGCTTCAAAGCAAGTTGCTTACCTTTCTGTTGTGCTCCTAGTATCCATACAAAAAAACCTACGGTAATTTTGTTTTATTTTCCTTTCCATTCCCCAACCAATGAATACTACAATGTCGATTCTCTTTCTGCATACTTTAGTGTGTGCCCGCGCGCTCACGTGTGTGCGTGTATACCTCACTCAGCACTCGAAGTTCTGTTCCCCATGACTGAAAGACTGCCTATCCTTTCAGGACCTGCCATCATCTGCGGATGGGCATTACTGTATTGTGTGTGTGTGTGTGTGTGTGTGTGTGTGTGTGTGTGTGTGTGTGTGTGTGTGTGTGTGTGTGTGTTTCATTCAGAATCAGATCCGCTATCGTTGCTATAAGAGAGAATCTGTGGGTTCACATCCAGTGCATTTGTAGATTTGCGTACTTTTCTCGCCACGGGCGCATACATGTACATGGAACATTGTGTGTGTGTGTGTGTGTGTGTGTGTGTGTGTGTGTGTGTGTGTGTGTGTGTGTGTGTGTGTGTGTGTGTGTGTGTGTGTGTGTGTGTGTGTGTGTGTGTGTGTGTGTGTGTGTGTGTGTGTGTGTGTGTGTGTGTGTGTGTGTGTGTGTGTGTGTGTGTGTGTGTGTGTGTGTGTGTGTGTGTGTGTGTGTGTGTGTGTGTGTGTGTGTGTGTGTGTGTGTGTGTGTGTGTGTGTGTGTGTGTGTGTGTGTGTGTGTGTGTGTGTGTGTGTGTGTGTGTGTGTGTGTGTGTGTGTGTGTGTGTGTGTGTGTGTGTGTGTGTGTGTGTGTGTGTGTGTGTGTGTGTGTGTGTGTGTGTGTGTGTGTGTGTGTGTGTGTGTGTGTGTGTGTGTGTGTGTGTGTGTGTGTGTGTGTGTGTGTGTGTGTGTGTGTGTGTGTGTGTGTGTGTGTGTGTGTGTGTGTGTGTGTGTGTGTGTGTGTGTGTGTGTGTGTGTGTGTGTGTGTGTGTGTGTGTGTGTGTGTGTGTGTGTGTGTGTGTGTGTGTGTGTGTGTGTGTGTGTGTGTGTGTGTGTGTGTGTGTGTGTGTGTGTGTGTGTGTGTGTGTGTGTGTGTGTGTGTGTGTGTGTGTGTGTGTGTGTGTGTGTGTGTGTGTGTGTGTGTGTGTGTGTGTGTGTGTGTGTGTGTGTGTGTGAGTGTGTGTGTGTGTGTGTGTGTGTGTGTGTGTGTGTGTGTGTGTGAGTGTGTGTGTGTGAGTGTGTGTGTGTGTGTGTGTGTGTGTGTGTGTGTGTGTGTGTGTGTGTGTGTGTGTGTGTTTCATTCAGAATCAGATTCGCTATCGTTGCTATAAGTTAATGATTATAAGAGAGAATCTGTGGGTTCACATCCCTCGCCACGGGCGCATACATAGGACATTGTGTGTGTGTGTGTGTGTGTGTGTGTGTGTATGTGTGGTGTGCGTCTGTGTGTATGGGATACTGTCTGTATCGGCTTTTGGTACTAATGTTCAGGTCTGTGCTTGCATGTGTGAACATGAAATTGTTTGGTTCTGTGCATGCTACATGTAGGTTGTATAATAGTGTATGTACATGTATGTATGTGTGTTGTATATTAGTGTATGTACATGTATGTATGTGTGTTGTATATTAGTGTATGTACATGTATGTGTGTTGTATATTAGTGTATGTACATGTATGTATGTGTGTTGTATATTAGTGTATGTACATGTATGTGTGTTGTATATTAGTGTATGTACATGTATGTATGTGTGTTGTATATTAGTGTATGTACATGTATGTGTGTTGTATATTAGTGTATGTACATGTATGTATGTGTGTTGTATATTAGTGTATGTACATGTATGTATGTGTGTTGTATATTAGTGTACTAGTACATGTACAGTCAACTTGTATATTAGTTTATCACTCCCTTAGTATTGACTCACATAGATTTTTGCCATACCTAAGCAGTCAAATATACCTGCATATTTCACTCCTTAGGGCTATATTGACTGCTTATATTTGACTGCTTAGGGGTTGCGCAGTTGAACGGTGCCCAGTGCAGCATTGTCACCGCATGAGTAGGTGGTGGTGCAACGGTTGTGCAATCATAAAACCGGGATTCATGAGTTTATCGTTTTGGAATTTGAAATACGGACTGTTTGTCGTGATAAATCTAATATTGACTTCGTACTTGGTCAGTATAGGAAATAAAAACCTCGTAAAAGACCTCGGCTTCGCCTCGGTCTTTTACTCGGCTTTTATTTCCTATATTGACTTCGTACTCAGTCAATATTAGATACGTATGTACAGTCAACTTCGCTAATAACGACTGCGGATATAACGACAATTCGCGAATAACGACAGAATTTCCATGCCCAGAGCAAAGTCCCATCCCACTGTAATACATATGAGACTTCGGGTATAACGACACTTCGCGAATAAGGACACCTTTTGACGCCCGCCGAGTGTCGTTATAAGCGAAGTTGACTGTAGTCGGATTTGGCAGGTGTTCGTGTGTTTGCGTGTGCACGTGCGCGCGTGCCTAGGAAACTGCATAGTCGGATTCGGCAGCTGGTTCGTGTGTTTGCGTGTACACGTGCGCGCGTGCCTAGGAAACTGCATAGTCGGATTCGGCAGCTGGTTCGTGTGTTTGCGTGTACACGTTCGTGCGTGCCTAGTAGACTGCATAGTCGGATTCGGCAGCTGGTTCGTGTGTTTGCGTGTGCACTTGCGAGTGTGCCTATTAGACTGCATAGTTGGATTCGGCAACTGGTTCGTGTGTTTGCGTGGGCACGTGCGCGCGCGTAGGAGACTGCATAGACGGTTTTGGCAGCTGGTTGTGTGTTTGCGTGTGCACGTGCGCGCGCGTGCCTAGGAGACTGCATAGTCGGATTCGGCAGCTGGTTCGTGTGTGTGTGTGAGAGAGAGAGAGAGAGAGGGAGAGAGAGAGAGAGAGAGAGAGAGAGAGAGAGAGAGAGAGAGAGAGAGAGAGAGAGAGAGAGAGAGAGAGAGAGAGAGAGAGAGAGAGAGAGAGAGAGAGAGAGAGAGAGAGAGAGAGAGAGAGAGAGCGAGAGCGAGAGCGAGAGCAGAGCGAGAGGAGAGGGAGAGGGAGAGGGCGAGGGCGAGGGCGAGGAGAGGGAGAGGGAGAGGGAGAGGGAGAGGGAGAGGGAGAGGGAGAGGAGAGGGAGAGAGAGAGAGAGAGAGAGAGAGAGAGAGAGAGAGAGAGAGAGAGAGAGAGAGAGAGAGAGAGAGAGAGAGAGAGAGAGAGAGAGAGAGAGGGGAGAGGAGAGGGAGAGGGAGAGGGAGAGGGAGAGGGAGAAGGGGGAGAGGAGAGAGAGAGAAGAGAGAGAGAGGAGAGAAGAGAGAGAGAGAGAGAGAGAGAGAGAGAGAGAGAGAGAGAGAGAGAGAGAGAGAGAGAGAGAGAGAGAGAGAGAGAAGAGAGAGAGAGAGGGAGAGAGAGAGAGAGAGAGAGAGAGAGAGAGAGAGAGAGAGAGAGAGAGAGAGAAAAGAAGAGAGAGAGAGGGAGAGAGACGAGAGAGAGAGAGAGAGAGAGAGAGAGAAATGTATAGTGCAGAAAGTGCACTTGAAAGTTGGCGAGTTTACCCATGGTGCGTCTGGACAACCAAGCTACAAACCGTCGTATTTCAGTCAAATATCGGTCTTTCGGGACAATCCAAGTATGTAAATCGAAGAGAAAAGTCCATTGTCTCCGAGTTTTGTGTGAAAGTTATTCAATTTGCTGACGATATTCTATTGTATGTTTGCGGTACGCAGAAGAATGCGCTGAGCAACTCCCTGTCTGCAGCTGTCTCAGCCATTAGTACCTGGCTGTCAAACCGCAATTTAATTCTAAACGCCCGGAAAACACAAGTGCTCTTCCTGTCTACGCCACATATTACTGACCACCAATTTGCAGTCTACTGTCATGGAGTGCAGCTAAAGCAAGTGACATGTGCAAAGTATCTTGGAATACATTTGGATCAGGATCTTTCTTGGAGGACTCAAGTTGATTCTATGGTCACCAAACTTGCCAGTAAAATTGGTATTCTGTTCCGAAATCGACACAATATTCCGCTGACTTGCCGAGAAACGTTTGTAAAGTGCCCAGTGTTGCCAGATTTTCTATATGCATCAAATTGTTTTTCTGCTGGCCTTTCCTTAACCCAGTTAGGTAGGCTTGAACGAATGCTAAAGCGAACTTTGTGTTCAATGTACGATACTGGTTTTTGTAGCCCATCAAGCCCTTTATTTGCGAGACTTGGTCTAGATCGTTTGGCATCCATGTATTGCAAGAAATTACTGTATCTGACGTAGTGCTGTTTGGAAGGCCGCTGTAGTGTCACATTGAGTCAAATGTTCGAGCGTTTAAATAATGGTCTTGCAACGCGCAGCCTTGTATCACGCACTCTTAAGTTGCCCATGCTCAGAACTGCCTTTGCCCGTCATGGCGCTTCCTTCCAATGTGCTAAGCTGTGGAATTATTTACACCCTCTAGCTCGCTGTGTGGATAACTCCGCCCGTTTTAAGAAACTGTTACCCCAATGCCTTGCTTTTTCACGCTAGTACTTATGATTTTCAGCTATGCAAAATGCGAACATGATCACCTATCCAATACCGGTAGTCTATTATATTAATTGTTCATATATTTTTGCATCTTTCCCTCGAGTGGGTCTATTGTTATTAGGCAATTGTCTGTTATAGTCGCCACTATAAATAAAAATCCAATCCAATCCAATCCAAAACTCCAAGGAATCCAATACAGCATGCGCGATCGCGGCACGATGCTGCGTTCCCGAGATGCGAAGCCTGCAAGATACGTCACGGCACTTTGCATTTCTACACGCGAGTCAAACGCTCCAGACCTGGTACTAGTACAGGAGCCAAGTGGGCAAAATGTGACTTCACGTTCCCACTTGCGGTGTACCACGATTTTTTTGCTAATATGATAGAGGAGCATACGTAGATGATGTTTCCACTTGTTGTAATTCTCAGAACTTTCTGAAAGGTTGTGAAAAATGCAATTGAAATTGCCTTTAGTTACCATGGCAACTGACCACAAAAATCGAGTTTCTATTACTTTCATCCCGGAAAATTCAATGTCTATCTGCCAAGCAACTACATAAAATATTTGATGCACCCCAGAGCATTTTTCGAACTTGGTTACCATGGTAACCAAGAACAAACATCATAGCAACAGCATGGCAACACTGTAATAATAGCGCAGAAACAGTTACGATTCTTACGAAACAACAACAATGGGTAGGACTGATGTTATCAATCCTGGAATATTATATATATTATGAATTAGAAGCATGCCTTGAAATAACTTATCTGGAAAGACTTTCATGCAATGGGTGCACCACTACGCCCCGTTTCATGAATGCAGAGGACAGACCGTTTCGATTGGCCATGTATTAGCATTGATTGAGCTGCTTAAACGCATGGCAACGATTGAGTACAAGCAGCCACAGGCAATAGCTCAGCAGCAGGGCTCAGACACAGCGATCAGAGAAAAGAACTTGAAAACAAGAAATGGTTGGAGAGAGAAAGAACAAACAATGCATGATAGTCATTGTCCTCGAGTAACTGGACTACTGGCATCAAATCAATAGGTCGTCTCTCAAAGTTTTGCAGTTGGAATGCATGGCTGCACACACTACAGATAGATTAGTAATACATGATGTACATTACCAGAATCCGTAAACTGTACCCTAGAGTCTGATGTACTTTGAATTACACATAACATAGCCAGCCAGAGTATCAGTATCAGAGGAGACATCACGGAAGACAACGACTACTGCAGTTCACTTAGGCTCATTACAGATATTATTCTGTGATTGTTATCAACATGAAAATATACAAGTAAACAGTGTGGAAAGAGTGTGTGGCATGATCGAATGGGCCTACCAGGTTGCCAGGGCAAGTACAGTCTGTAGGCAGTTAAACAGATAGAAATGTTACACCAATGCTGCAACACGATGACAGCTGTGGTGATGGAGGTCTTGGACCAGGCATGTGTAGTAATCCAACGGCTCTGTAACATAACAAACAAAAGACAAGGTGGATCAGATATATTACCCGTGACTGCCTGCAGCCAAGGAAGTTCAACACAAATAAGAGGTACCCAGCCTGGATGAAGATTAGACAATAATATTACTCACACTGGACAGTGTCGTCATCTTCTTGAATTATGGGATGACCTGACTCCTCGCGGTTGCTACACTCGCTACTGCATCCACAAACATCCGTGCAGGGAAGGGATTGGCTGCGGCATGAGCATCTATTCCCTTGGCAGCCGGTCTTGCAGGAACACTTCACAAATTCCAAGATTGCTTGTGGTGCTGCAGCTACCGAGAGCCAATCAATGCGCAGCTGGCCATTGGACAGCTGCCAACCATGGCTTCCAGCGTACGCTTCAGGGACAGGGGGCTGGGCTTCTAGAGCACCTCACCAAACAGCCGCCTGGAAGTTGGCCCTTGCTGCGTGTTTACGCAGAGCATCGTGGCATGGGGGCAGTCTGCTCGAATCCTTGGCGTTATCCAGCAAGCAAAACAACTCGTACCGTAAGCTGTTAACGCTTGACTGGTTTGACCGGCCATACAGCATGCAGACAAACCGCTCGATTTCTGCCATGGCGCCTGCTGACAGCGGGTTGAAGGCTTTGCCAAGTTCGGCCATTGAACTTCGTGCCAGGTCTCCCTTGCTTCCATCACTGGTCAGGAGCTGATAAGCGCTGGTCTTGCCCTTTCCGTGGAACGCACTGACCGTATCACACCCGGTAAAGGCATGCATGCCGATCAGTGCGTCACACACGGAAGTGCCTAGCGCAGAGCCAATCTTTGAGAGATTCAGGAGCAGGACTTTGCTCCTAGAACCAGGCAGAAACAGGAGCTTCATACTGTCAGGAAAGCGGTGGCTCAGTCCGCAACCCAGAACCGCTACGTCCGTGTCCGGCGACTTGATCGTGACCGAAGTATAGCCTTCTGTACAAGCATCACGAGCGTGCAGCAGAAGCCGAGTGTCTGCCTCTTCATGTGAGCAGTTCAGCCGTAAGCACTATGTTGCTGTGGTGGTGAGGCCATCAGGTGACACTAGCTTGACGCAGCTGATACCGTCTGTTGCGTACAGCTGTCTAGCTTTCAGGTGGCTGGCGTAGGCATCGGTGGACCATTCCGTAACAAGGAAGCTAACAAGCTCAGTCTTGCTGCTGCCACTTGACAAGAACTTAGCCCATTGCTTCGGCGTGTGCTGCTGTCCACTTGAGATTCTTAGCCGGATCTCACCATGCGATTGCGCTCGTCGACTTCGCTCAACATCTTTGATGGAGTATTCTGGATACGTATCAGCTACAAAGTCGATTCGGCGAAACTGCGGGAAATTCCTCGCGAGGCATATAAACACATGCTTTGCCAGTTCTCCGAGCGTACCTGGCAAGGAAGTCGGCTTCAGGGTCCGTAGCAGAGCCATGGCGTCGACGATTAACGCAGCCGAAGATGGAGGTGCTGGCTCATGGCTGGTACAATCCGTCTTGCTGAGGAGCTGCAACAGTGCGGCCTTGTTTGTTTTCACCATGGTGCCTTCTGCAGTGCATAGCGACAAGGGCGCAGCTGAAAGCGGATATGCAAGAACCTCACGAATGTCAAGATGACGCAGCTGGGCAATAACAGCCATCTTACTGAACAGGGCACAATCCGCCTTGAGCACTGCTACCTTCAACGCACTACGGGTGGTGGTACGCTCCTTGCGGACGGTAAACGTGCTTAGCTTCAGCTTCTGGATGGGGTCGTGGAACTTGTCACACTGGTCGACAACGCGATTCTTGATGAATCTTTGAAATGCTTCCTTTCCCTGCTGTTCTGCTTCAAGCAAGTCCTTCGTGGTCTGCTCGGAGCACATCAAACCAGACGAGAGGTTGACCAAGTCGGCAGAATCCCTATCCAGCGTTTCGTCACCAAAGGGGTTGAACCACCAACATATCGTTGCCTCCACACGTTGCACACCATCCTCATCTCTCGACATGCGTGGCAGATGACACTCTTTGTGCAGCACATCAGCCTCACGGGAGCAGTCGTCAAGTCCACAGAGCTGGAGACAGGAATCTGCAAAACGTGCACGATCATGCGCCGTCATGACCCAGCGTTGTACAGCAGATGGGTTCAAGCTGATGCCGATGATACCACCTGCTTCATAGACCAATTTATGGAAGCGCACCGCCCGGTTGTACTGCTTTCCACTCAGCGCTAAACCTGCTGTTGAGGATCCAGCCACATCAGCTTCTACCAACAGGTTGAGTAGGCCACCATCGGAGAAACGCTTTCCAATGATTGCGAGCAGTGTCATGCAGATATGGAAACCGCCCATCCTCAGAATAACGTCACTAAACTCAGATTCCCTCTGCAATACAATGTCTGTGGCCTTCGCATAAATTGCTTGGTCCAAGACAATCACACAGAATGGGAGCTCAGCCTTCCGAGTCATGGACACTGACTGTGACAGTAGCGCATATACTGTGGCACTGTCGGTTGGCGATGCACTGATCACAGGACAATATGCTACAGTCGATCGCGGTGGAGTTGATTCCTTGCACAGTAGTGAGTTAAAAGCTGTCTCGGCTGGAACCACTTGTAACTGAGACTCCTCGACTACGCACTGCGCATCTTCTTTCACTGCAGTTGGGTGTCCAACATCTCCACTTGGGCACATTCTGGCAAGAATCCACAGGAAATCAATGAGTGCTGGCTGAACTCCATTGACCTGGGTGGTAATAGCGAGGTTGAAGTCAGATGGCATGGCCATGGGTGGTGGATTGACCTTATTTCCCGAGGGAAACACTGGTAATATCATTGGATGCGTTGGCAGGGAACGCTTACGCTTTGATGAGCGAACAGCAGAGAGTGGCGTGGAGTTGATGAGGCTGTCATCAGGGACATTTCGTTGTATAACAATACCATTCGTACAGTGCGTTGTGCCTTTTCCACACAAACTCTCCTCACACAAGTCGTTATTGTCCCAAACGAAATGGAATGGCTGTTTCGGGTCGACAACTTGTGGGAGAGAGACTTCGTTGGCATTCAGGGCATGCTGGGTTGCAAGACTCGTCTCGATCTCTTTCACTTGACTATACGAGCTGCAGTGTCCAAGGCGGTTGAGAACGGTGACAACTAGCTTGCTGCGAAATAAGTGGTGCAGGGCCATGGCTAGAGTGGTGTGCTTCTTGGTTGGGTAGGCAGTGGCCGAGAAGACAATATCATTGCCAGTAGAGGAGATACGACGTGCAGTGTGGTCATCAAGATTTGCCGTCCGCTTGGTGCTGAACTCGATGCTGCCTTTGTCTGCTATTACCCATGTAAGAAGTTTGAAGAGAACGTCGGGAACTACATCAACATCTGTAGTAGAAAAATAAGAGCACAGCAAAATTGCCCAATGTTGTGAAAATTGCAACACTATTTCTGACTGAAATTGAAATCAGTACAAACATAATTTGTTATATTCCAGAATAAGCTAATCACAATGATTTCCAATATTGTCATCTAGAAATAGCATTTCATGGAATGAGCACTATAGTTCTGTACAGAGTTTGGATGTACTATTGTATAGCAGTTATGTCTACTAATTTCTCAGAATGTCAAAAGGGCATACACAATACGCAGGGCACCATTTCTATGCATGTTGATTACCATAGCTACTTCAGTAGTCACTCACCTGATTGTGACTTCTTGGCTGTTGATACAGTTGTGTCTACTTCTCAGCGAATTATTAGTGCTGCATGGTAGATGATGCGCCACTCCTCAAGTCCGCATTCATTGCCTGCCAAGGGTCCATCAGGCGTGCTTGAAGGTGGTGCCTCTTTGGCTGGAGGACCATGGCTATCAGCAGCGCCCTCCTCAGGGATCAAGAATGCGCAATCATCATTAGCAACATCAGTATCACTCCTATCATCACCATCGTCATCACCTTCGTCATCACCTTCGTCACTGTTACAGCTGTAGCAATCATCACTATCATCACCATCATGACGATGTTGGGTAACCGACTCTCGTAGAAGTTCCTGACTGTACTGGGTTGCGAACACCTGTTCAGGTTCATTGGCGCGGCTGGGCCTGATGAACTGCACACTCTCTCCGAAATGCCTCTTGATGTGGGCTTTAAGTTTGTCCTTGCGGACATTACTGAGAACTCCTGCAGCAGCGCTGAAGCAACCATCGTACTGTCGCTTCAAGTCTGCCATAGACAAGCGCATCTTCTTCTTTATCAGTTGGCTTTCCAGTAGTGCGAAGAAATTGGCCTCAACATCCGAAATATTGCTCTTGGCTTTGCAGGATTTCGTCTTTGCAAGGGCATCCAGAGATTTCTGACGGGTGAACTCATTATAGCATAGCTTGTGATAACGAACTTCTCGAGAAATCAAACTGGATAACGCTCCAACTGCTATCTTTACTCGTTCATCGTCTCTGAAATCAGCTGCCAACAAAATCTTCTCCGCAGCATTTTCGCTTTGACACAATGACGTTGTCTGATACTGGTTCTTCTTTCCGGGGAGCCGTCTCTTAGCTTTCCCACAGAAGACACAATCAATATTTCCTGGCTTGACTTGCGGAACTTTCAAGCTCTGTCTTGTTGTCGGTCTGGTAGCTGTGCTTGTGATGCCCGCATGTGCAGACGGTGAATCTGCAGCGGAGTCTACATGCAGGGGCCAATACAAACACATGGAGAACAAACTTTAGACACTGATAATTCAAGAGCAACACCCACATGACTAACACACACATGACTAAGACACACATGACCAACAACCACGTGACCAACAACCACGTGACCAACAACCACGTGACCAACAACCACGTGACCAACACCCACATGACTAACACACACGTGACCAACACACACAAAACAGAATTATGCATGTGATTATGCGGACTTCAAAATACCTTTTGACAACCCCTTGGTATAGACCTAAAAGTCTTCTTGTGGAGCACTGCAAATACATAATAGCGCACAGTTGCCACGGGCTTCTAAATCCCCATGGAATCGTGTTTGCAGTGTTTGCAATGGGCGAATGCATCTGTACATTGTTGTACGTGTCATACGTTTATGTCAGCGGGTTGGCACAGCCCAGCGGTTGTAAGGACAGCGTGCATCACCAAAACATAACGCATCTATTTATGTTAATCACTCACCGTACCCGAAGAAGGCGCACCTGTCTCCAAACGCCTAAGCAGGGTTTCATTTGTCAGCTGCTGATAACATCGTCGGTGGAAACCTGCGCCATCCGGTGCCTGTTCACCAGTCAAGTCCAGGAGTCCAGATCGCTCAGCAGCAGACTTAGCCTTCGCCCATGTGTGGTCAGAAAATGCACTCACATCGCCTGTGGCACCCTTACTAATGTGGACGACACAGCGTAGCCTCCTGCCACTTTGACCAGCTCGGCCTGTCTCCTCCATCATCTAAGTACAGAAATCTCCATTGCAAAGACGCAAGGCACGAAGAAGACGCTGAAATCGAAATTGCAAACGAAATTTGTCAAGTAAACAGTTGTCCAACACGTGGATCACCCGCTTCCTTGTCTGCAAACTGAGCCTTCCACATGGTCCGCGTGCCCACGCGCTGATGTATGACGCCATAAAGTACCATGGTTACGTCTATCGTCATAGGTCACCAGTACGCACCCGCACGCCGCGGGAGCCGACCGCGTGCACTTTGCGCAAAAAGTTTTGAACATTTCTTGAAAATGCTTGAGTTTTGCGATCTCTTGTCATAGCCACTCGAAGAATTTTTTGGGAGAAGAAGCCCTGGCCTTGGAAGTCGACCTTCCAGAAACTTTCAGGAATGACAACAAGTGGATTTGTCCTGTACAAGGTATTGCCTAGCGATTTATGTAAAAAATCGTGGTATGCTCAAAGTCGGAACGAACGCTCTAGCTCAGTGGTTAGAGCATCGCTGGCTACAAGCGAGGGTCCCTGGTTCGAGTCCTGGTGGTGACAGTCAATTTTTCTTCAGACTTTTCCCGTTTGTCTCTTTCCCTCAAAACCAGTTAAGAACTTTTTTTCCTTGAGGTTTTCACCCACTTGGCTCCTGTACTATGGGGTTTCCCCTTTTCAAGCGATCTACGATCTCGGCAACAGGCTCAGACGTCTCGGAAGCTCTCACTACATCTTCACGGAAAAAATTGGGCGTCCTGGGATAATGGAGATGGAAATGTCCCATTGATATTCCTGCCCTTTCTCACAATTCGGCCTTTGATGAGCTCATTTATGCACAAGCAAAAGCCGCGGCAAAGTCTGACAGCGGAGAATGAGACAGCTACAGGGGTGGTGCGGGTGGGAACACACTGTCACATTCTCCGCCTTCACATCCTAGTGTAACCTGAATTCCACGTCAGACATTTCAGGTCCTAGCGGAATTCCCAATTACACTTCGAAGGCTCCGGCTACGAATGTGACAGTGTGATGTTTAAAGAAAAGACCTCACATGAGTAGAAAGGTAATTGTATTTGTATTTTATTAGATTTAAGGATTTCCCAAAGGCTTTGGGCCTGTCGAGGGGATCTCCTGCGAGAAGAATGAAATGACAACTTTATGTAGAGGGAGCAGTTAATCGAGGATAGGCTAAGGAAATAGATGGAGGTATAGAACATCTGGTAATTAAGGAGTTGGGATGCCGTCAGTGTAATGAGTATATCGGCGAAAATGCTGATAGAGAGAATGCTTGAATTCGAGGAGGCTGGTTATAGAGGTAAGAGAAGGCGGCAGGCAATTCCATAGCATTGCAGGTTTGTTGGAAAAGAGGGCAGAAAAACGCACACCGTGATAATTGATGTTAACTCACTGATCCTTATGCACAGATATACAGAATTCCCTCACTAGTGGGACCATTGTTATTAGGCTAGGGCCTGTTTTGGACTTCCCACTCTAAATAAAGAATACAAACAAACAACAAACAAACAAAAAGTTTGTTTGGTCTTCTTGGACTTGAAGAGAGTGAAAGGTGAAAATGTTGGAGGTGTTCTGGAGATATATGTAATAACTCCATATACATGTATGGATAAGTTTAAATAGAGTAGCAAGAGCTGATACTTATCTGCGAAAGTGCAAGGACTCTAAGTCACAAAGGCCGTTTAACTGGCATTTCCTCTCGCATTTATCGACTTTTTACGTAGCAAATACTTCCTAGCTAGCTGC